ATTAGAGATCGGACAAAGCTTGTTTTCCGTTCGCAATTCATGATATCGTGGTCGTCACCGATCGAGGCATGGTCGGTTGATAATTTCAAGATAAGGGGTTGCATCAGCGGCGAACCAGTCACCAGGAGTGTGTGGTCCATTAGTTGATCAAGTGTTCTGCGAATTTCGCACTCACCCTTTGCGGTCCGATGATAATAAATTCAACGTTATTATTATTATCATCATAAACGGCCAGTTGTATCTATTTTCGTACTTAGGTATGCCTACCGTTGTTTTGTCTCGCAGCTAAAGGGCTAATCAGTTTGCTCCGTTTGCGTAAAAAAGGCGCGTGTGAGGATGACAAGTCGTTACATCAAGTAGCTTCTCGACGCTTGGTACTTGAACCTTCCCCTGCAGGCGAACTTTTGTACTGATGAGGTGGTCCTCTAAAGAGCTATGCTTTACGCGCGCACAGTTTTAACAGCGGCTGCTTGTGCCGTGTGAAATGTGTTGGTAGGAGCGAAAGGGTTCAATATGATCTCCCTCGCGCTTGATTGAAGCTACTCTTATAACAATTATTTCTACTTTTTAGGACCGTCATTGGCCAGGCCCATTCCGTTTGGTCCCGTGTTTTGTGCCATCTAGGTAACCCTTGCGGCAAAGCATACGCTCAGGCGTTTACCACTAGTGACATCTACATAGGTGCAAGGGATTGCACACTGGTCGCTTTCAGTCCCATCGCTGTTCAGCTATGTTTCCTGCTAAAGATGACCATTTTTGTTGTTGCATATTGTTCGATGTTTGAATAACTATACCATCTAACGGTCACCAGCTAATAAGCCCAAAATCAATTTTTGTAATTGGCATGCAAATCAATGCATTACTTTCGCGTCAATAAACGTTATGATACCGATGAAGTAGTCCACTTCTATTTCTCTGACCTCGACCTCTGACGAACTATTGTAAGTAACAAAATATCTTGTGCCTAGCATCTTTGTTAACCCGGCAGGCGGTGGGCCTCCCGGCCACCTTCCGCGCGGTGGGGGGGGGCATTTTTTTGCCCCCCCCCCGTATCTCCGAAACTACTGGACGGATCCGGAAAATTCAAACGGCGTTCGATAGCCCTGTCAAATTTGTCGAGGGAAACCAAATTTCATTGACCTCGGGGTCACCGATGACGTCACAGGTCAGGTCAAAGATAAAATGTTTCACCGTTCACGGGGCTTCTAGGGAAAGCGCTAAAACACCGAGTCAAACGCATTTTGTCGAAAACCAGCGATAAGGCGTCAGTTGTATAGTACATATGTTGCTATTAGAGGTCACTGGTCATACCAGGTCAGGTCACAGGTCAGGTCACCAAAGGTCACCAAGGGTCACCACATGAACCCAACTTTACTAAGGTTGTGCGATGCATGTTTTATGGCCAGTTTTTCATTTCCAACTCAATGGTGTTGGTTATAGGACCATCAGGTACGGTTTAGGTCACTTTCTGGTGGAGGTCAGGTCAAGGTCTTGTCCCGTCAAGTATGCTTGTCCCGTAGCTCAGTTGGTAGAGCATTGGACTCCCGGTAGTGACAGCCCGGGTTCGAGACGCTCCGGCGCTCGATATTTGAGACTCCTGACGGGGATGGTCTGCGGTTGGTGGGAGCAGCCGCAGCCAGTTGAAGTCAGTTGAGTGGGACAGGCCGTGTCCGGCTTTGAAGGGCACGTTAAACTTTGGCATCTAAATTCTCCCGTCCCGGAATTGCGCGATCGGACGGTAGGGGTCAGGGTCTACGCAACAAGCTCTGCTTAGCGTGGGCTCCGGCTCTGTCAATCCGTCCATTCAAACATTCGAGCTAAATTAAAAAAAAAAACAAATTAAAAAAAAGGTCAGGTCAAAAAAGGTCAAATTTCAAAGTTGATATTTTTGCATAAAATGGGTATTGATTCGATGCCGCTCGTCGCGGGGAGTCTAATGGTGGCCTTTGTTTTGCGCTGCGAGGTCTACATTTGCTAAAAATTGAGTTTAAAAATTTGACGTCATCAATTTTGAACAGTTTTTTCGCTATAACTTGGCCAAAAAAAGAGGTATCGATCTCAAATTTGGTATGTAGATAGAAGGCGGTAGGGACTATCACATAAATTCCGTTTTTTCGAAATTTAAAAACTTTTTGGATTTTTTGGCTATTATATTCAAAAAATCTATTTTTTTGGGGGGGGGGGGTCAAAATCCAAAAAACCGAAAAACCGAAATAGCAGTTTTGTAGCCCTCTTGATTCCACACCTTTTATGTTGAAACATTTTTCTGTATCTCTAAAGCTGTAGGTCTGACAGCTCTTCCCGCGAAACCTTTTTTTGGGTCGAAAATGGCAGAAATGACGTCACTTTGACGTCATTAGCGGCCAACCTATCATAGCCTTTGGAAAAATTTTTGGTCACCATGTGCGCTAGCTACTTCCGGGAGGGTACTGAAAGTTTGGTGACGATCGGCGCGGCGGTTCTCGAGATATATCGAAAAAACTAAAGGGGGGGGGGCAAAAAATGCCCCCCCCCACCGCCTGGAAGGTTAAACTCTCTTTAATTACTTACTTTTTATCTAAACACTCAGGACCCAGTCATTCTGTTATCATTAACAAATGCTTCATTCTTTTTGCCCCTTTGCGCTTACTTTCGAGTTGTTGGAGCCAGAGCTTCATGGTTAAACGTGCTGCCCATCATAAGAGAAAAGGTCGGCGATTTAAAAGTTTCGGGCTATTCGCTAAATTTTGATGCCTAGCCGAGCCCATAGTTTTTAAAAATCCAGCATTGGGTGGTTTTGCAGCTCACAAAATAGCTTTTAAACTATCTATTGTGTATTTGTCGATGGTTGCAACTTGCAATTCAGTGTTAAAGAACATCATTCATTTCTTGTGTATTTATTTATTACACCTAGAGTACAAAATGGCGATACGATACCATCGGATACTTTTTTTGCCTTATGTGTCTAGTGTCTACACCTGACCTCCATTTACTGGTACCTGTCGGGTCTCACTCTTGTATGATTCTTACGCGTTCTGTTTTACTTCTTATGGGTACGTTACTTATAAAACGCGGTCATGAACCATGTGCTTCAAATAAAAGAGATGCAAATTAAAAGTATACCGGTGCGCCAAAGTTCCAATTTCGCTCTGCTGATCATTGGACGTCACCACTATGTGAGACTGTCTGAAGTGGATTACCTACAGCCATTTCGGGATAAATCTCGTGTTATGATTATCATGTGCGTGTTGCCAGGAACAGTGGATGCCAGAAAATAGAACGAACAATAGGTCCGAGCTAATATCCACTGAATGATGGCTCTGTCCGCATTGACCAATGCCTATCAGGTGTTTACTCTGGTGAAAACTTGAGTAATGTGAACCTTGTCCTCCATGGCCCAATAGGTATCAGCTCCATACGACCACGCCACTCAGTGCGCCGGCGTCGTGGGGGCCTTCTCACCTGTTTGACTGCAGACCAGTCCTCACTACTCCATCCGAACCTGGCGTGCTCTCGCCTCGCCGCACCCTCCTCTCCAGTTCTTCGTCACTCCCAACAGGCTTCTCCTCTACCTCGTGTCCCAGTCTCGCCGCTCGCGCGGACTGCCGGTCGCCGCGTGGTCGACGGCGCAAGAGTCGCTCCCTCGCCAAAACACGTGCTGTCGGTGACCGGGTCGGCGCGGCACTGCCGTGGGTCGGGGACACCCTCAGCTACCGCCGTCGACCTCGGCGCGGTGGCTCGCTATCTGCAGCTGATATCGCTGTCTGACGGTGCTCGGATACTGAGCGTTGGTTAGAAGTGGCGCGGGTAGGTCGCCCAGGCAGGGTAGGGGCACAGCGTGGGTAGGGTGGGCGCTGCGTCGGAGCCGAGAGCGTGGTAGAGTTGGAGAGGGTAGAGTGCGCACTACCGAGCAAATGGCTCTTACTGCCATGGCTGCCTTCATGAACGCTTTTTTGCGATACGCTTTTCTCTTGAAACACTATGATGATAGTGTCCCTCGCCAGAAACTGATGTTTGTAGTATGTCAGATTGGCAGGTCAATATATATTATCCAATTAGGGAAGGCATTTTGACATCATCGAGCGCTTTTCATGCACCTAGTTGACATTACATATATGACCTATTAAGTTAAACCTTTTTTGCTTTTAACGCCCCTCTTGCTGTCACGGCGTCTTTATGATGCCGAACTATCTAGCAGTTTTATGGTCAATGCTCCTTCTGATAACGTCTCTCGTGAGGTCTGGCACATTCCTCTAGGTAATTTCTGTCCACGTGGGCGGACTCAAAGTAATCTTGGGAGGACTCGTATTGTACCACACTTGAATATTGTGACCTGTGCACCTCAACTTGCCGCTTTTTGTTACCATTTTTGTTTCAGTTATCAGTGGAACAGATTCATCAATCATCAGTAAATACCTAACAGCAGACTTTCTACCTAACCCTAACAGGTTACGCCAGCGAACGAAGATACTTAAGTGGACCTAAGAACAACTGTACTTTGTGATCAAGGTCATCGATATTTGACCAAGGCCCTCGATATTTGTTAGATATTTCATAGGTGGGCTTATCACACAACAAATCGATATCGGTTATGCCCACGGAAACACTGATTACATATGTATCATACGCTAGTGTGGTGTTCGTCCGCTAGTCTGCCATTATAGTGAGGGATTCGGCCTTGTCTCAGTACATACCTACGGCTGCCAGCTGTCTCAGTTTGACTCAGTCCGATTAACTGTTTGTCAGACTCCCGCCGCCGCGTGTCCTCAACGCCATCTGGTATTGAATTCGATCAATTGTCCCGCTGAATGGCGGTCAGCCTGACGAAGTTGTAGCTCCCAACGGAGAAATAACGCGTATTTTGTGTCCGTTTAATTCCAGTTTGAGCTCTATTCGTTCTTCGCTTCACCACCTCCCTAGTTCCAAAGGACTCTCATCTTGCCCTCTATCTGGCCCTGTTTTGGCTCCTGTATGACCCTCAATTCGACCTCACTCTAACCATGCAACCCCTTGTCTCCCAGGTCGAGACGGTGGAATGGGCGTACGAAAACATCGCCGAGCAGGGTGCCACCGACAAGGAGCTCAACAGCATGGCCGACTACCTGTCCCGCCAGCAGCTCGATCTGGTCATCAACCTTCCGATGCGCAGCGGCGGGGCGCGGCGCGTCAGCTCGTTCCAGACGCAGGGCTACCGCACCCGGCGCATGGCGGTCGACTACGGCGTCTGCCTGGTCACCGATGTCAAGTGCGCCAAACTGCTGGTCGAGGTGAGGCTGGGTGGAGGGGAGATGGGTAATGCTGCCTTAGTGAAGGGCTCTCCGTCGGTATTTGTGTAGGTCTCAGGTGTTACTAGCTAGTTAGTTAACTGATCATAAGACGGCAAAGGTCTACATGAGCATGCTAATTTTAAGTGCACATGATTAATTCACATGAGGAAATTTTACATGATAAAATGTCTTTAAAGCGAATAGAATAACCAAATGGCCTGATATTTCTTAGCAAAAAGACAAAACAAAAAACATCGGCTTCTCTTGTCGGGTACTGGTCTCTTTGTGTCTAATGTTATTCGCACATGCTAGGTTAAAATGTTTTTTCTTCATTCCTACATAGCTCAGCGTGCGGTCGCACTGTGTTCTCTGTTACCGGGTGTTGGTGCCCTTCTGCCCAGCCGTTAGGTCGCTATCTGTGACCGTTATCTACCTAGTGCGCACCCCGCGCCGATAATATCTGAGTCGGATAACGGACTGAGTCATACGGAACTGACTGACGTGTCGGTGATCCGCGGACTGACGGCTGCAGACCGGTGCAGGCCTGGCAGATACGGCTCTGCGCGATTGTTCATGCCAGTTTGCCGTTCTGCCATAATGATCATCTGTTTGCTTACATAACTCCCCATTCATTCCACCCTATTCTTGGCCGGTTACCTGTTTTCCGTCCCTCTGATTTTTTTAAAATTTCTTTTAGTGTGTCTGTTTTCAGTATCAATCATACTCTTGGCCGTTTCTCTTATGTCCGTGAAGTTAGCGTCAGCAACAGCAACGAATACAGCGTCGGATTCAGAATCGCTTAAAAAACTTATTTTAGGTCAATTGGGGGACGGGGAGCAAGAATATGACTGTCACGGGTTTTCTATGTATTTTTACCAATACTCGGCAATTATCAAGCACCTAACACTGTTCTTCCAAAAACTCCCCAAAACCAACATCCCTCTCCTTCCCGATTTTCTCTGGACTAAATCTCTCGCGACACAGTTATACATCACGTGACATGCCGCTTGAGATCTTTCACCAATATAGGTTACACAGAGCGTGACATCACTCCCCCTTTCCAGAAAAAAAACTTGTTTTTTTATACCCATCATCACCAATCTTTGTCGACATGCTCATAACCACCACCGCCATGACCCGTAACGCGGAGATAAGACGGTGCGTTCTTCATTTCTTCATCTACCCGACTCGACCATACTTCAGACGGCGCGACTCATGTAGTCGGCCTCCACGTTGTCCGCTCCCTTGATGGCCATGATATGCATGCGGTAGCTCTGCAGGAACAGGGCCCACCGCATAATCCGATCGCTCAGCAGTTTTGCCTTGTTGAGGAAGACCAACGGCTGGTGATCAGTCTGTAAGACAAATGGCCTCCCGTACAAATATAACTGGAACTTCCTCACGCCCCAGACCACCGCCAAACACTCTCGCTCCATCGTAGAGTACTTCCTCTCACGATCTGATAACTTCTTACTTGCGTAAGACACCGGGAAGAGATCACCGTCATGACTCTGTAGCAGAACGGCGCCGATGCCCTTATCAGAGGCGTCCGTCCGTAAGACGAACTGCTTGTCCATTTCTGGCAGTCTTAGGATCGGCCTCGATGCTAGCAGTCCCTTTAGACCATCGAAGGCCTTGTCCTGAGCCGCTCCCCACTGCAGCACCCTTGGTGACCCCTTCCGCGTCAGGTCTGTTAATGGCACCGCCACTGCAGCGAAGTCGGGGATGTAGTTGCGGTAGAAGTTGGCCAGCCCGAGGAAAGACCTCAGCTCAGTCTTAGTCCTCGGCTTCGGCGCTTCCAGGATCCTGGAGACGTTGTCTTCAATGGCAGTGACGACCCCCCGCCCGATACGATGTCCGACGAACTCCACGCACGCCATTCCTATGACACACTTTGACGGTCTCGCCGTCAGTTCTGCTTCTTGCATGCGGTGAAGTAGGACATTCAGAGTGGACACGTGTTCCTCCCAGGTCTTGGTATGCACCAGTATGACATGCCGCTTGAGATCTTTCACCAATATAGGTTACACAGAGCGTGACATCACTCCCCCTTTCCAGAAAAAAAACTTGTTTTTTTATACCCATCATCACCAATCTTTGTCGACATGCTCATAACCACCACCGCCATGACCCGTAACGCGGAGATAAGACGGTGCGTTCTTCATTTCTTCATCTACCCGACTCGACCATACTTCAGACGGCGCGACTCATGTAGTCGGCCTCCACGTTGTCCGCTCCCTTGATGGCCATGATATGCATGCGGTAGCTCTGCAGGAACAGGGCCCACCGCATAATCCGATCGCTCAGCAGTTTTGCCTTGTTGAGGAAGACCAACGGCTGGTGATCAGTCTGTAAGACAAATGGCCTCCCGTACAAATATAACTGGAACTTCCTCACGCCCCAGACCACCGCCAAACACTCTCGCTCCATCGTAGAGTACTTCCTCTCACGATCTGATAACTTCTTACTTGCGTAAGACACCGGGAAGAGATCACCGTCATGACTCTGTAGCAGAACGGCGCCGATGCCCTTATCAGAGGCGTCCGTCCGTAAGACGAACTGCTTGTCCATTTCTGGCAGTCTTAGGATCGGCCTCGATGCTAGCAGTCCCTTTAGACCATCGAAGGCCTTGTCCTGAGCCGCTCCCCACTGCAGCACCCTTGGTGACCCCTTCCGCGTCAGGTCTGTTAATGGCACCGCCACTGCAGCGAAGTCGGGGATGTAGTTGCGGTAGAAGTTGGCCAGCCCGAGGAAAGACCTCAGCTCAGTCTTAGTCCTCGGCTTCGGCGCTTCCAGGATCCTGGAGACGTTGTCTTCAATGGCAGTGACGACCCCCCGCCCGATACGATGTCCGACGAACTCCACGCACGCCATTCCTATGACACACTTTGACGGTCTCGCCGTCAGTTCTGCTTCTTGCATGCGGTGAAGTAGGACATTCAGAGTGGACACGTGTTCCTCCCAGGTCTTGGTATGCACCAGTATGTCATCGATGTACGCAGTTATGTTGGGTAGACCTTCCAACAGCTTCCTGACCCCCCTGACTAGTGTTGCTCCCGAGTTGACCATTCCAAATGGCATGCGGAGAAACTCATATTCTCCATCAGGTGTGACGAATCCTGTCTTCTGCACGTCTTCTTCCCTGACAGGGAACTGCCAGTACCCCCGGCTGAGATCGATCTTGCTGAAGTATCGATCTTTGCCTAGGTCCTGGAACACGTCTTCGATCTTGATCATCGGCTCAGGGTCTACTATCGTTACTTGATTTAGCTTACGATAGTCGACACACACGCGGTTACTGCCATCCTTTTTCCTCACCAGTACCACGGGGGCCGCGTAAGGTGACCGAGACTGGCGTATCACTCCCATATCGAGCATGTTCCTGATGTCCTCGCGGAGGGACTCCCTCATGCTATATGGCAAGGGGTAGGGCTTGCATCGGATCGGCTGTGGGGACGTCACCTCGATCCTGTGCTCAATGAGTTTGGTGCGTCCGGGTTTGTCTGAGAACACTGCATGGTAGGTTTTGATCACCTCTTGCGCTTGCAGTCGCTCCTTCCTTGACAATCCCTCCCCGATTTGTACGTCTGCCAAAGATTCGTTGCCTCCTGGAACCACAAATTCCAGTAGGTCGTCATCCTCGATGGCTTCTTCTGGGGCTGCCTCGCTTCTCTCGATCACAGCCACTGCCACCACTTCCATGAGTGCCCCGCTGACACTGGCACTGACGTCTGACCTGTTCTCCTGAACGGTGCGGTCCATGTAGCGTTTCAACATGTTGATGTGGTAGGTTTTCACCTTTCCGTTGACAATGATTCCGTAGTCACACTCATTTGTTTTTTCCTGCACGCTGTACGGACCTTGCCATTGCATGAGAAGCTTGTTGCTGGTTGATGGGAGAAGAATTAGGACTTTATCACCGGCTTCCAGCTTTCTGTTCCTCGCTTTGCGGTCGTAGTTGTACTTGTATCGTGACTGGGCCTTCCCCAACTCCTTTTGCGCCAGTGCCATCGTATCCTCTAGCCGCTCACGGAGCTCAAATACATACTGGTAGCTCGTCTTCACCTCAGCCGTCTCGCTTTCGCTGGTCCAGAGCTCTCGTAATATCCTCATCGGTCCGCGCACCGTTCTGCCGTACAACAGCTCGAAAGGCGAGAACCCAGTGGATTCTTGTGGGACCTCTCTGTACGCGAACAGCAGTGCATTGATGTAGCGGTGCCACAGTCTTGGCTGCTCGCTACTGAGACGTTTCAGCATCATCTGTAGCGTGCCGTTGAACTTTTCCACTAAGCCATTACACATGGGGTGGTATGGAATGGTTGTTAAATGGCGTATATTGAGTAGCTCAGAGACCTCTTCCATGCAGTTGGATACGAACTGTCGTCCCAGATCGGTGAGGATTTCATCGGGAACACCGAGCCTGCTATACAAGTCGATCAGAGCTTCAGCTACAGCTTCGGCAGTGCAGGTCTTCAGAGGGACTGCTTCTGGATACCGAGTTGCGTAGTCAACGAGGGTCAGGATGTACCGATGTCCCTTTTCGCTGGGCGGGTGAATCGGTCCGATCAGGTCCAGGGCCACTCTCTGAAACGGGCGGTCGATCAGCGGCATCTTACCCAACGGCGCCTTACCAACTGATCCCTTTGGTACAGTCCGCTGGCACACATCGCACGAATGGCAGAATCGGCGCACGTCTGCTCCAAGACCTGGCCAGTAGAAGCTGGATAGAATTCTCTCAGCCGTCTTCTTAGCGCCGACGTGGCCGGCTAGCAGTGATTCATGGGCGACTTTCATGACGTGCTCGCGTAGCCCTGTTGGTAAAACTACCTGTCGGGTACTTTTCTTGGCGCTGCACCCCGAATCATCGAAGACACGGTAGAGAATGCCCCGACTTTTTTCGTACCTCACCATCTTTCCCTCTCTTTTCCTTGCCTCCCACCCATCAGTGAGTTTCTTCAGAGTTTCGTCCTCTTGTTGGAGTTTAATGAGCTCGTCTCGGG